TTATATAGATACAGATATAAAGTTTTTGTACCTAGATACTTAAACACAGCGTCTACATGACAGGATTTTTACTGGAGGCAAACCTCCTTCAATAACCTTTGCATACCTCCCTAAAAAATCCCCGGCGCCTTCGGCGGCGATGTCTCTTCATCATTATTTTCACCTATTTATTTATTGATACTCTTTTCAAATAATTTATAAAGGATAACTTAAATTAATCAATCTCTACTACCAACTATCGATATTTTGTTAATATAAAGAATTTATTTTTTAGATAATAAATTTAATTAAAACCGCCATTATTTACAATGAATTAATTATTATGGCATTATGAGCTTGCTGAAATATCTAAACCTTTTAAATTATATTTAAAAGGATAGTTTATTTGGAAAACAATGTGTATGATTGTTTGCAATATATAGATTTGGTCGATGAATTGTATTATAATAATACTATAATAAAAGTAATAAATTTTACAGCAATAAACTTTGTCTTATTTCATCTCAAAATTTAATAGATAACCCCCAAAAAAAGGTTATCCTACCCCCATTAAAGCAGCTTGCCCCCTACCCCTTCAAAAAAATAGGATGCAAACTGTTTCTACCCCTCCCGCTCATGTAGATGCTGCTTAAACAACTCCTCTGAAAATAACTATTCAATTTGCTTTTTACTAACATTTTAATTTTACTTAACCCATTTATTCGATTTTTTGGAGGGAAATTAAAATTTAATGCATCATCAATTTGCAAAGTTGGGACAGATACAGATTCTTTGCTAAAAATGAATCTTAGATACAGATACTAATAAAAGATACTTGTATCTTTTGCCTAATTAGAGTATCTTAAATGCAAGATGCTTTTAAATTATCATTATCAATTAAATTAGAATAGTTTGTAAAAAAAGTTTTTATTGTTTATTTGTGAAGACTCATAAAATAATAATGAATATTTACAATAATACAATAAATAAAATGTTTAATGATGAGTTATTTATAATAATCATACTAATATAATAGACCATTACGGAAGGGAGACTAGTATTTTTAAGGGGAGTAGAAATATTTATTTGCAAAAGAGTATTTAAAATAGATTCATTATTTATAAAATAATCAAATTTTTCAAATAATTTATCATTAGTCCTTTGTCCTTTTGGCGTACTTAATAATGTGCCAAAACTAAATAACCTTTCAATTGAGCTGATATAGGTATTGCAGTATTATATTTATAAAAAATTTCCTTAATGGAAGGATAATAATTAAGCATTTATAATGCATTTCGACTTCCTTTAATATAATTTAAACTTCCAGTTCAATGTTATTTGTATTATCTCAGCAACATTTGTTTCACCAAAAGAAAAATAATCAACATATTCTTTATTAGATGTTAAATCTATTGGTTGCTACTATATTTATGGCTTCTTTTATTATTATATTTTGAAAATATTTTTTTTTATTATCTGACTCAATCCATAAGTTCTTAAAATATGGATGTGATAGTGATGTCAAAAAAGTCTCATTATATTTAAATCATAGGAAAATATTTTCTAAAATTTTTTGCCCATACCATTTTGGGCAACTTTTAATAAAGGTAGAAATATTGTAAACTTAAATTTTTAAGATGCCCCTTTTAACTATACATAGATAATTGTTTAAACCTTTATTATTTTTTGTATATAAAGGTTTTACATCTAGCCTGTTCATTGTCTTCTTTAACTTTTATTTTTAAAAAAATTTCCATATAAAATTTTAAGATTGGAATTTGATTAACGGGAACTTATTTCCATTTAAATATCACTATCTTATTCTTCACTACCATGAGTGTTAATCATTTTACATATTATTTTATATTAAATAAAATTGGTAATGATATTCTATCGAGGAACATTTATATATAAAATATAATCTTAACTTATTTAGTTTTGGTAATGTTATTTTTTATCCACCTTGCAAATTTTCCAGCTAATTTTGATTGTAATCATATTTAAAATATGGCGAAAAAAAATAAGGAATAATACAAGATTCTCTAAGAAAATAAAATATAAACTGTGATATGTAAAATTTTAAACATTAATATTTAAAAAAAATCTGTATTTGTATCTTTTAACAAGAAAATGATACAAGATTCATTTCAGATTAAAGGATCTTAGATACAGATGCTAGAATCTTATTAAAAAAAGATAAAAAGGATTTTGTATCTTAGATACAAGTATTCGCGGTACTGCCCAAATCTGTCAATTTGTTTATAATGTAGTAGATAAACCTTTTACTATTATAAAATATTAAATAGAAATTTTTTTTTATCTAGTCATAATTTATTTATTTATATTTTATTTTAAATTGTGGAATAAAGATAATTATTTATATTAATTTTGAGTTATTGAATTAAATGGATGAGGAGGAGGAGGGAGCATGGTGTTAATGTCAATTCTTAATTTATTCTACAAATATAGGTTTTAATTATATTACCGCTTTTCTTCTAAATTTAATACTTTTATTTATCGCAAATATGAAACAAGACTTTAGGTGGGTGCAAAATCAAATTTTTATTTTATTAAAGAAAAAATTAATTTATGATTGAAATTAATGAAATCGAGTTAGAACGCATAATATATAAATGCAAGGATCATTTTCTTAATTTTGGAAATTTTTTTTCAACTACCATACAACTGTCGTTTCTATTATTTTTAATTTATTATCTCTAACTAACAATTTCTTTTCGTTTTTTCTTTGTATAACTATAAATGGCTCACAACCTCAAGTTTGTATAAATTGATAAATTAAACCAAGATTTTGGTAAATGACTCCAAATTGTGCTTTATATTTCACGGGTACATTCACTAAACTATTGAATAATTTCATACTCTTTATTTTAACAGAAATATTAGTAACTCACTTTATATAATCGGAATTGACATTCCTGTTTTTTTAAAACAAATAATTAATTTATATAGCTTTCAGACCTCTTTCCTCGATATATACATTTTTATAAATGACATAATAATATTTTATAAACCTTAGCAAATCGCTGTTTTTTTTCTCTTTTTTCCAATTTATTTCATAAATCTTAGCAAAATTGGCAATTTTTTTAAAATTTATTTAGTAAACCTTATAAACCCTCAACACAAAATCTTGGCAAAATTTTACCTTTATTTTAAAAATATTCACAAATCTATTTATATTCTTCACTAATAGCCATGATACAAATTGTCTAATAATTTTTTTTAAATTTAAACACAACACGCTGACTTGATTATCCATGATCCAAATAATAAGATGAAATCATCTTTCATACTCTGCAATATACTGCAGGATAGTTTCCACAGAGTTAAGGAATTTTTTAAATTTGTCATTAGAATGCTTTCATCTATATATTGTCGAAGTGTTAAAGTTATCTATTAAACGGGAGTGGGTGTATTTTTTTAGAAAATTATAAATTGATCTATTTTTTTTTATCTTACAAGTTTGGATTTTTGAATAGTATAGAAGATATTAATAATGGTTCATTATAAGATTTAAAATTTGTATCAGGGGGTTGTTATAGCATAATGGGCGGGTAAATATAGCGGTTGTAGGTCGCGATTGGAGTAGTGTTTGATTTTGGAAAGGGTTTACTTCCACGAATTTTCTGCCATATGACACAATATATATAATATTTATTATTGGTATAGGTTCCAAGGATTTATTATTTTTTAAATATTAGTCGATCTAAAATATTTCATTGGCAAAATGACACCCTAAATACCCAATTTATTATACTTTCAAAGTAAATTTAAAATTAAAATTCCTATTTATTTAAAAGATTTTGATAAATCATGTTCATTTCTTGCCATTTTTATTAAATCGGCTCATTCCTAAGTCTAACTGTCAAAAAAATATGCTAAGCCTTGAGGCAAAAGCATATTTTTATCAAAATTGAGCTATACTTTAAGTTTATTAATCGGACGAGGCTAAGATAATAGTTTTTGCTTTATAATTGCGGTCAGCCTTCTTAGAGTTCACTCAAAACCTGCTAAAATGCAATTATTTATCACCAATGCTTGATAGTGAACCTTCTGTACTTTTAACAAAGCAGAAGAGGCGAGGCTATAAAATTTATATAAAAATAAAAATATTGAAAAATAAAATTTTCTACTCTATTTTCTGACTATAAAAAAAATGTGAAAAAAATTTTGACTATTAATTTTTATAATAATAATAAAGAAAATAGGAAATAAAAATTTAACACTTTAAAAATAAATCAAATCTTTTTGGTAGGGACAGAAGGCTCCGATCCTCCTCAAAATTTGGAAAGGATATTAAAATCAATATAAATTAATGGAAGGGACTTAGCCCTCCTTAGCACCCCCCGCCATATACCCCTGTTAATATGGATTTTATTAGTTTTTTGAAATATTAGACTTATATAAATATAACAAAATAAATTTAACATACCTTAACTGAAAAATCACTAGTAACTTTAGTGTTCGATCTAAATCAGTGTTGTCGAGGAGTCCCTAAAAACCTTGGAGAGTTCATTAAAAATATTATATTTATTTATATTTATATATGGTTCTCTTTTTTCCAAATTTTAGGTTGAAATTATTGTTTTTTCATCAATATAAATTGAAACCTTTTTAAGGAAAGATGAAAGAAATCTTAATATATATAAAAATGGGTCTCTTATTAAATTTTTATATGTTGACCGACGATAAATAGGTATACTTTAAAACAAATATAAAAAAATCATATGTTTTAAAATACAAATTTTATATATATCATGCATTGCGCGTAAACACAAAAATGTGTTTAAAATTACCTCAATATTTTTATACAATGTGATTATAGATTTTAATCGATCCTAAATTAGATCAACATTATTTATTATTTACAAATAAAATTGAATAATATGTAGAATTATTTGTTTCAGTCCTATCGCATGGAATTTATTTGAACCAAAAACAAAATATATCGTCCAGTTAATGTTTAGCATGAACTTTTTAAAGAGAATCATTTAAAAACTTATTCTATAATATGAATTCATTCATTTAATTCCAGTGCAATTTTGGGTAATCTTTTGTTCATGAAATAAGTTAATTTATTCATATATTCTATTTTTAATATATCATAATATTTGCTATATTGTAACATTATATATTCTAGCCAGTGCCCAATAATTTTTACCTGAAGGGTGGGGCACTGGTGTGCACATTTTTTCAAATATCGTAATTTCTGATAAATTTATTTACACACATATTAATTGGCCTTCATACAATTATAATGCACTTATAAATAATTAAGTTAAACTTAATTTATATTTATTCATTTATCTGTTTCGAAATGTAAAATATACAAGAAAGTTCTATTCTAACTAAAATCTAAACTTTATTATTTATTTTTTTTAAAAAAGATTTATTATTTCTGTTAGACTGATTAGGTTGGGCAGGGCTGGGCTTAAAATTAAATAAATTTGGGCTGAGCTCAAAGCCTAAAATTTTAAAATTCAGGCTGGGCTTAAAGTTGTAAATTTTTAAACAATAAATTGAAATTTTTTTTAAAATCTTTTATTAAAATAATAAAAATATAAATTAGAACAAATCTGTAAGTTTTTATTTTGTTAAAATTTTAAAATTTTTTGACTAGGCCTAGTCAAAATATTTCAGCTAGGTTTGACTTAAATATTTAAAATGAGCCAATAGGGCTTGTATATAAATTTAATTAAGCCAGAATAGGGTAAAAAATATGAATCAGCAGGACTTTAACATTTATTTTCAATAATAATGCCCTAATATATGATTTTTTTCAAAGATTAATTTGAAAAATAAGGCCTATTTTTTCTAAAAAAATTGGATTAACCCTGGTTGGGCTTAAAATTTTAAATAATGGATATATTTTAAAAATTTTCAAAAATAAACAAGGTGTTAAGATTTTTTTATTTGTTTGTGGAATGATCAAAAATTTGGGCATGACTGAAATATGTGCCCCCAAAAACTATGCGCTCCTATGCACACCCTATCAAAGAAACTTTATTTAAATTATATTATTACAGAATCGTATTTAGCTTCATAAGATGAGTACAAAAATGTTTTTTTTATTTAAAAAAAAATGGCAACATAGTAAAATTTTTAAAAAAATATTTTTTTACATGATTAAACATGTGCCCCCTATCAAATAAGATATATAAAAAATGAATGCAGAATCATATATAACTTATTAAAAGAAACCAAAAAATGATAATACTAAGTTTATAAATTATTTATAACTTATTGAGATTTTGAAAAAACACTTTATATTTTGGGCATGACTAAAATATATGCCCCCAAAAACTACGCGCCCCCTATGAAAGAAGCTTAATTAAATTATATTAATATAGAATCGTATTTAGCTTGATAAGATAAGTCAGAAAATGTTTTTTTTTTATTTGAAAAAGAATGTTAACATAGTAAAATTTAAAAAAATTAATTTTTTTACATCATTAAAATACGCGCCCCCTATTAAAGAAGCCTAATTTATAAAAATGAACGTAGAATCATATAGAGCTTATTAAAAGTTGTAAAAAAATGTTAATATCATATTTTAAAACTTTTTATAACCTAGTGAGCTTTTGAAAAAACAAATTTTTTTTTGACTAAACTTCGCGCCCCCTATCAAAGAAGCTTATTTCATAAAAAATTATAGCATAATCCTATTAAGCTCATTAAGAGGAATCAAAAAATGTTAATATTCAGTTTTTAAATAATTTATAACTTATTAAGATTTGGAAAAAACACTTAATTTCTTCTTTTTTTGACTAAACTACGCGCCCCCGTTAAATATACATTATTTTTAAAAAATGAATACAGAATCATGTATAACTTTTCAAGGTGATTCAGAAAATGGTATTATTTATTTTTTTTAAAAATATTTTTATTATTAAAAAAAATTTTTTGGACTAAACTAAGCGCCCCTACGCTCCCCCTATCAAAGAAGTTTATTTCATAAAAAATTAAAGCATAATCCTATTAAGCTCATTATCAAAAAATGTTAATATTAAGTTTATAAATAATTTATAACTTATTGAGATTTGGAATAAAATATTTAATTTCTTCTTTTTTTGACTAAACTACGAGCCCCCGTTAAATATACATTATTTTATTTTTAAAAAATGAATACAGAATCATAAAATGGTATTATTTATATATTTAACGGGGGCGCGTAGTTTAATCAAAAAAAGAAGAAATTAAGTGTTTTTTCCAAATCTCAATAAGTTATAAATTATTTATAAATTTAATATTAACATTTTTTTATTCCTCTTAATGAGCTTAATAGGATCATGCTTTAATTTTTTTGAAATAAGCTTCTTAGGGCGCGTAAGGGCTCGTAGTTTAGTCAAAAAAAAATTTTTTTGATAATAAAAATATTTTTTTAAAAAAAATAAATAATACCATTTTCTGAATCTCCTGAAAAAGTTATACATGATTCTGTTTTCATTTTTTTAAAATAATTTATATTTAACGTGGGTGCGTAGTTTAGTCAAAAAAAGAAGAAGAAAGTATTTTTTCCAAATCTCAATAAGTTATATTATTTATAAATTGAATATTAACATTTTTTGATTCCTCTTAATGAGCTTAATAGGATTATGCTTTAATTTTTTTGAAATAAACTTCTTAGGGCGCGTAAGGGCTCGTAGTTTAGTCAAAAAAAAATTTTTTTGATAATAAAAATATTTTTAAAAAAAAATAAATAATACCATTTTCTGAATCTCCTGAAAAAGTTATACATGATTCTGTATTCATTTTTTAAAAATAATTTATATTTAACGTGGGCGCGTAGTTTAGTCAAAAAAAGAAGAAATTAAGTATTTTTCCCAAATCTCAATAAGTTATAAATTATTTATAAATTGAATATTAACATTTTTTGATTCCTCTTAATGAGCTTAATAGGATTATGTTTATAATTTTTTTATGAAATAAGCTTCTTTGATAGGGGGCGCGTAGTTTAGTCAAAAAAAAATTTGTTTTTTCAAAAGCCCACTAGGTTATAAAAAGTTTTAAAATATGATATTAACATTTTTTTACACCTTTTAATAAGCTCTATATGATTCTACGTTCATTTTTTATAAATTAAGCTTCTTTAATAGGGGGCGCGTATTTTAATGATGTAAAAAATTAATTTTTTTAAATTTTACTATGGTACAATTTTTTTTTTAAATCAAAAAAAAACATTTTCTGACTTATCTTATCAAGCTAAATACGATTTTATATTAATATAATTTAATTTAAGCTTCTTGATAGGGGGCACGTAGTTTTCGGGGGCGCGTATTTTAGTCATGCCCAAAAATTCTATTATTTTCATTTTAAAAATATAGAAATATGATTAATTTTTATATCAGATACATTCACGGGCCATTTATTTAAAATCATTATTAGCTATGTAAATTAAAAATATCCTGGCCAGACCATATAAATGGTGCCTCTGCAGGTCTCTGATTTAAATAATTTTGAGTTGGGATGGATGAACAAATATTTTATTTTGGGCCAGGCTTTTCAGGGCAAATTAAAAAAAAATTTGTTCAATATCAGACTGAGTCAGGCCCAATGATAAAAATTTAGGTCAAACTGCTTAAAGCAGATCAATAACTTATATTGCAGTATTTTAATGCAAGATTGTCATTGAAATTGGAGGGGGTGTGTATGAAGAGGCTATCTCAGATAAAATTTGTAAGGGTTAGGGTGTGGCTTTGATTTGGGTTTCCTTTTTTTGCTAAGGGGGTAAAATTTAAAGGGGTAACCCCTTTAAAAGGCATAAAATTGTCAGTGATTGGGTAGGGGGTGGTAAAGTCACTGCTCAAGGGAATTTATAATGCTTTGGAAAACATTAAGACTAGGAATATGTTAAATTTCTAGAAAAACTGGAAATATTTTAATTGAAAAATTATATACATTTATAGGGCCAGAAATTTTTAGTAGTTAAAACTGATAAACATTAAATCATGATGATTAGGTTATCCCCATTTGCTGGAGACTATTTTTTTTCTTTAAATTCCCAGTTTTACCTAAATTTTAAAATTCCCAAAATCCTCAATTTTAAAAAATTAAAAATTGATATCTGTGCCGATTCATAAATTCACCGATCCAATCCGATATTTCTAAATCCCGATCTGATATTGATTCGATATTTGTATCGATTTTTATTTACCATCTATCTTTGAATCAATATCATAAAAATATCAATATTTTCTATTTTTAAAAAAAATCAACTAACTTTCACGAATGATTAAAAGTAGGGATGTACCGATATTTTATATCGGATCGGATCGGGCCGATATTTCGCTCATTTTAAAATATCGGTTATCGGCAAATATTATAAAATTTTCCGATCCGATATAAAATGGCGCTTTTAACAAAATTTAAAAAAAGTTATATCTAAAAAACCATTTATTTTTATAAATAAAATCGAAATACATTTTTATGTTTAATTTTTTTAATAGAAATAATTAGTTAATAAACATTCTGCAATATAGTTATTTTTTTCGCATTCTGTTTAAAAAAGTGTTCATTAATCTCTTCAGTATCTGTTTTTAGTGATGCTAGTGATATTAACAGTCCCCATCACCGCCGACATATCTCTGATATAAAAAGAAATCTTCGATATATTAATTTTAAATATTAATTTCAAATTTCATAATATATTTTTTTATTACTAATTATGTAAATAGATTAATGTTATTACTTATTATATAAATAATAGCAATTGAATTGAATATAAACTATAACTGACCATTATAATATATTTAAATGACATATGTTATGGTATAGTAAAATTATAGATGTTGTACTAATAAAAAGTATATTAAAAATTAAAACCGGTATCTTTGCAGAATACAAAATTAGATATGATATCGGATCGGTTATCGGCCGATATCAATTTAATATCTGAAATATCGGATCGGATCGGCCTCCAAAAAGTGGTATCGGTACACCCCTAATTAAAAGTCTATTTTGTTTTTTATGTTTATGGGTGAATGTAGTGTTGTTAAACAGCGGCCGATTTTTAAAATGGGCTAAATCAAGATTTTAGCCAAAATATT